ATATATCACAGGCGCCAAAGACATTAAGACATTAGCTACTCCTGAAAATGGCCACCAAAAAACACACGGGGGCAGCTCCTCACACTCAAGGGAAACCGGAAATCTGATGAAAACAAAGCACAAGGAGTGCCTCCATAGTGTAAAATTGATTTATTGTAGATACAAAAGAAAGCTGAAAAGGTACTTGCAAACCAGCTTGTTTAGACGAGCATGAAGCGATACAATGTCAGGAAAACATCAAGATGAATACACAAAAATAAGGTGAGGGAAAGGAAGTGCTAGTACTAAGCCGAAGCCATCTGCACGCTGACCCTCCTTCAGTTGACGCGTTTCTGAGGACAAACCTCTTTCATCAGAACCTCTGATTCGTGTATTCATCTTGATGGTCTCCTAAGATTATATCGCTTTCTGCTAGTCTATACAAGCTGGTTTGTAAGTACCTTTTCAGCTGTATGTTTTATCCTTAATAAATCAATTTTACACTATGGAGGCATTCCTTTTGCTTTGTTTTCCTCTAACGGAAGGGGCTTGTCCTCAGAAACGCATTAACTGAAGGAGGGTCAGCGTGCAGATGGCTTCAGCTTAGCACTAGCACTTCCTTTCCCTCACCTTATTTTCATGTATTCATCTTGATGTTTTCCTGAGATTGTATCGCTTCATGCTCGTTTACACTGGCTGGTTTCTAAGTACCTGTTCAGCTGTCTTTTTTATCTACAATAAATCAATTTTACACTATGGAGGCGCTCCTTTTGCTTTGTTTTTTATCGCATTTAGTAACAGCTCAGACACACAGCAATTATGGAGGAAATGTGCAGAGGACATATAAGCAGGATGATGAATTCTTGAGAGTCTTGAAAATCCAGCTTTAGAGAAGACTCTACAGCCCTTGCATGGCTGGCAGGGGATATAGGACATTTATCGAATTCAGTAACAAACCTTCTATTTCTAAATCTGTATCACAGTCTTCGTCATTTTCTTTTGATTTTGTAAAGTCTTCGGAGTGACTGTGCACCGTCTTTTCTTTAGACTCGGAGACCTCAGTATCTTCATCATCGCTGCCTTCTTCCTTCACGGATCTTGCTGTAGCTGACCTTTGTACAATCTATAAAAACATAGCGTATATATTAAACCAATAGGAAATTCATTAATTCAGCACACTGTTTCTAACAACAGTTTACATCAGAGGACAGAATGTACAGCCTCATAAGCAAGCAAAACAATATATCCACATTCTCACTTGTACAAAGCAAATAACAATTTAAAACCCATATTCCACTGTTGACGTCAAATTCATTAGTCCATTGAGATCTGACGCAGTGGCAGATGGGACTTTTTCATTTACAGAGCCTGTGAATGAATGCTGTGGCTGTGCAGGTGGAGCCAATTTACAAAAAAAAGTACAGGAGCCTGCAGGGAGAAGCACCCCACAATTCAGGAAAGTTCGGGGGTGGGTTGAGGGTGGGCGGTTGCAGAATGGCACCATCTTCCATGTTACACCCTAAATAATGGGTGTAATTTGGAATATGGTTTTAAAGGTGGACTTAATGGAAGACCTAAACACATGTTTCTAAAGCAGTAATGTATGCTAATACCTCTTTTCATTGGTTTTCTACCAGAATTACTTGATTTAAGACCACTGAGAGTCAGTGGGAACCATGATAATATGTCTGACCCTCCTGTGTCTGCACCAACTAAAACCAATAACCGCTATCATGATATCCCATGATAACATTTTAGAGTATGTGTTGTTTTGTAGATTTTCTGAAATTGGATCTGTCCAGATAACACAAAAGAGTGCTTCAATAAATTCTTCTACCTGGCCTGAGCTAAAACATTTTTAAGGTGACAACAATCACACAATAATATGGTGTGTGCAAGTACTTGTGTGAGTGTTTAAATTAATCCTTGTGCCCCTGGGGACCTTCTCTGGATTGTAAACCCAGGTTGCACATAGAGCCTCTACTTCTGCTCAAACCCCTTGCTGGAGGCTAGCCCCACTCCCATTCATTCAACTGTCAAATGGTAGAGACTCTACTGCTCAATGAAACTATTTGTTTTTTAAGTGGGAGAACTTGCACAATTGGTGGCTGACTAAATACTTTTTTGCCCCACTGTATGACAGACAGTGGGGATTAGCACCAGGAAGGTGTGGGAGCTATCTCAGTTTGGGCAGAAGTCATGGCACCATGGCCAGCCTGGATCTAAGATGCAAGGGGTCTCCACGGGTTCAACTTCAAGGCTAAATACAGGTCCATATTGCTACTTCAGCACTTTTGAAACCTGCTGAGCTAATCTCATTTTCTTAGTAAACAAAATGTTAATTCCAATACAAACCATTTAGGAGACCAAGAGAAACAGTAGGGATGCACCGATACCAAGTATTTGGGCCAGTACAAATACCTTTTCAGATACTGGAATTTCCAGTCAGAGGAAGATTTCCTCTGATCAGCAGTGCCTTAGGGCAGCGGTTCTCAACCTGTGGGTTGGGACCCCTTCGGGGGTCGAATGACAATTTGCCAGGGGTCGCCGGGAGTCTCCCGCTATTAGATAGCCGTAAGTCAGAAAAAAGAAAATCAGCATTGGAATGCATAGCTACATTCCTATTGGCTATTTCACTTTGCAATAGCAAACTAGCTATTGCACCCGCCCACTGCTGCTGTCAATCAGCAGAGAGGGACCTGCAGTTCTCCAACAGGTCCCCATCTAGTGATTATTATCATTATTATTATTAATAATAAAAGCTGACACCCTCGGCTTGTGTTATATGGTTTGCCATTTTAGCTGTTACAACAGTGGTTCTCAACCTGTGGGTCGCTGTGTGATTTCTGCTGTGCTGAGAGTCCTCCTCAACAATCTCCTAGCGCAGCAGTGTCAGTTCTCCCGCCACGCGGCCATGTCGCTGCAGCAGCCGCGTCAACCCTAAATGTTACCGTTGGGGGTCACCACAACTTGGCAAATGTTACCAAGGCGTCCCAGCCCTAGAAAGGTTGAGAACCACTGCCTTAGGGGAACATGGAGCCAGCTTCCTGTGCAATCAAGAATCTTGCCAGAAGGAACATGACATCAGCCTTGCCTAGGAGCACTAGGTGGAAGCCAAGTGGAAGTTAAGGATGCTTTCTATACTTCTCTAACTTTTTTAATTTTTTAATTTGATACTTTTCTTTTATTCACAGGTGTTTTTTCTACAGGTGGAATGTGGTGGATTCGGCATTGGGGTGAATGTAATATAATCTATAGCACTATCTAATAACCTTGATTTTTAGTGCAAAGTCCACTTTCGTTCTTCCCCTCTGTGTCTAGTAAGCTATTCTTCAAAAATATAATATAACAAATATTTTTACAGTTTAACACAAAATGTTTTTGGTTTTATTCATTTAGATTTTTGTTTTTAAATAAACATTCAAAAAACATGCACAATGTAAAAAAAAATGCCTTAGTTTAATTTGTAAACAACTCTGCAATGCTTTGTGACTGTAACATAATTTTGGTGTCAAGGAACAGATCAAAAAATAAAAAAACAAAAAAAAAACACTTTATAGCTATAGTAAAACATTACATATGTTTAATATTTTTTTACCTCTTCTTGCCTTTTAAAACATACAGCAGATAATAAAAACGTATCTAAACCCATGAATAAAAATGTAATATTTTGAAACTTACTAGTCCTTAGATGAGGTGGCTGCATTAGCCTTTATTTTATTTTCACCTGGTAATCCTGAGAAGAACATATTTCCTGTCCCTGGGTGACTATGCTCACCCCTCCACTGTATCTTTGGAGGCAGCCATGGTTGTCACGCAGGCTGGACTTGATATCTGCCTGTGTTCACTTCCATTACAGAGGGGATGGAATTTAGAATTTCACATAAGAAACATAACATTGCTTGATCTGTCTTTGCAGCTTACAGGCTTGCATTTCTCACAAGCTCAACATGTATTTTCTGGACTTGCTGAAAATCTTCTCTGCATGAAGAAAAAAAAAAGAAAACGAATGCAGCCATCACATCTAAGGACTGGTAAACTGAAATAAATTCCATTTTTTGGGGTCTAATTATCCTTTAATTACCTCTTAAAAGAAAAGAGGAAGAAAGCCTTCTATGTCCTTTCAGCCCCAAACCCTCCCCATTCCCCAACATACCCCAATATAAGCCTCACTTTTGCATCACAGGTAATAAAGTTATAGACCAATAGCTGAAATCTAAAAATGGTTGTTGAGCTTAAAGGGGAACCAGAACCACCTATACTCACCTTGATGTGGCCAGTGATGTGATGTCCATGAGCTCTTTCAGCATCAACATCAGCAATGGTCTTCTTGAGGGTTCGGCATCCTCGACCATTATGATTGGCCGGCCCAGGATGACGTAGCGCCCCCACATCCACATGGGAGTTAATTCATCCTGGCCCTAAGGCGAGGCTGAGAATGTACACTAAGCTGTGCATGCGCAGCTCAGCGTACATTCTAAAGAAACCTGCAGGCAGAAGCTTTTATTGCAAACGAGACCTGGTATGTCTTGTCTGTCCCTGTCTCCTAGTTATGTCTCTTCTGAAATAAAAGGCTGTCCTGTTTTCTGTAAGAAAGTTCCACATTCGGCATGCACATTGTTACAAATGTATCTCTTTGTTTACCCCGAGTCTCTGGTCCCAATTGCTTCCAGATCCGACGTGTTATTTCTTTGACCATTAGGTGGTCAATGATAATGTAGCTAACACACACGTGTACAGGACTCACTTTACCCCAACGCTTGGCTCCACTCTCGCCATCTTACATATGCTGAGTGTGTACACTGCATTTTCTTTTCTACAAATCTGTAGAAATGTGTTTGTTGAGCCTATAATACAAATGTTGAATAAATATTTACAAAAATATAATAATATTTTTGTGAATATTTATTCAACGTTTGTATTATAGGCTCAACAAACACTCTGCTAGCTGTATGAGGCTATGTTCAACAGGGGGTATGAGGTTGGGTTCAACAGGGGGTATGAGGTTGGGTTCAACAGGGGGTATGAGGTTGGGTTCAACAGGGGGTATGAGGTATGAGGCTGGGTTCAACAGGTGTCACACTTTAAAGAGATCCTGTCGCCAACTCCACAAATTGCAGATAAAAGTACAGAAAAATCAAGAATCGTACATGCTTTCTTGCAGCGTTTTCCCTTTCCATATATGAATTTACATTCACTTTGAGCTTGCTAGAACTTTTGAAGAGTCAATTCCCTAGCACAGCCCTCTCTTTTCTTACACGTCATAACCCTCTCCTCTACTGGGAGTGTCTAAATACTCTTTGTGCTGGCCCAGCTCCCCCTCCCGTCACCTTCCTACATACATTTTTATGTAGCAGCTGCCAGGGTAGAAGCAAAGGGGAATACTATAGATTTGGGGTGGGCTTACCCCCCACGCCCTGACTATTTTCCTACATGACGTTTTATGTAGCTGTCTAGGGAGAAGAAAAGGGGAATACTATAAATATATTAGTGCTGGCCCAGCTCCTCCAGCCCTCCTCCATTATCATCCTATATAAACTTTTATGCAGTTGCTGGGGGAGGAGTGAATGGGAATATTATCGACTGTCACTTGACTGACAGCTCCCAGCAGCAGTCTCAATGCTTTTGGATCTCTACACATGGGAGACATTTACAGGTAAATAACATGCATGAATACAATAAATGCACATATAATTGTATGGAAAGGTAAATGTTCTGATGACAGGGTCTCTTTAAGAAGCATCACTAAGAAAGCATACTGAGTTGATATGCAGATGCACATTACCTTATTGTCCACACTTCCTCTGCTCAGGGAAGGAAGAGGTCTGCTGGGTGGTCTGCTAGAGATGCCCTCTACACTAGATTGGGTGCCCTCCTGCTCCTCTGCATCCTTGGCCTCTTCTACTGATGGAAGCATGGAGCTGATGTCCTTGGAAAACCTCTTGCTTAGTACCATAGTGAGCAGACCTTGGTTTTACTATAAACGGTCAGTGTGGAGAGATTTGTTCCATTCATACAAAGGACATTACACCTTGTATCCAGAGATCAGCAGTGATCAGGACCCGGAATGTGCACACAGACGGCGATCACATGTCTCTCTGCTCCCACATGTCAACAAAACTACAATCTCCACTCAGGCTCCTTTCCTGAGCGACAAGGGGCGAGCCAATCAGAGGACTGGAAATACGAGGCCAAACCAATCCAGCTTCAAGGGCGGGACCTAACGATAAGGCTCCCTCGCCACTTGTTGTAGTGTTGTCATGGAGACCGTTACTGCTTTGCACTGATTCACAAACATCAGTTGAACTCATAACACTTCATGTTGGTGGTTGGTTGTGTCAATGACATTATTGTGATTCCTTTATTAAAAGAAAACAAAGAAAAACCTGCAAAGAAAGAATCAATACTGGACTCTACTTTTAATGTTAGCTGTAATGTTGTTCCCCTTGCTTCAGGACATTAAAGAGTTCACCTTTACAGCACCTACAAAAGAAAGTTAACATTTTGTTTTAATTGTATAACATGAAAAATGTGTATAATAAACGGCTGTAAAGAACGGGCCGTTTTTTTCTGCAGAAAAAAAAAGCTGTCTGGAGACGGCAACCCGCCAATGCGACTGTGCCGTCCGTCCGTTTTTTCACAACGGGCGGACGGCAACAGGTTAATGTTTATATGTGCGTGCACGCGGGGGTGGGGAGTTTTTTAAAACTTTTTTTTATATGTGACTTTTATTTTTCACTTAATTTTATTTCTATTACATAGGGGCTAACAACCTCCTATGTGATAGCACGCATACAGTGATATGTCCGCTTTATGGAGACATCAGGGGTCTCTAAGGCTCCTAATGTCACCTAGGCACCCCCAGAGAAGCTAATGAAGCAGAGATCTGCTTCACCAGCTTCTTTTCTGGCTATAGCAGGCAGAGAAATGACGGCTAAAGGCGGAAGTGATGTAATACACATCACTTCAGCCTTCAAGCATTGGAGGAGAGATCAGCAGTGGGAGAGTGCTAATCTCTTCTCCGTTTACAGTGTCAGCAGCCGCTGTGCTGGTCCTGGGCCCGCAGAGGGGTTGGGACGGCTAATAGAGCCGCCCGAACGCTTGTATGGAACAGCCGGTACCAGCTGTTTACATATACTGCCGAGAAAAAAAATAAGACGTACAGTAACGTCCACCCGCTGATAGGCGGTTGCTATCTGTCTGTTTATGGAATGTCCCTCGGCATCCTCACATCCTATACACAGTGTATAGAACGTGATGACTCAGACCTTAGACCGCTGCAGCAGAGGGGGAAAGAAGCTCCAGGGACTGCCAGCTCCGAGAATCAGGTGAGTATAACTTTTTAATTTTTTTTTACCCTAGGCAAAAACAAGCAGTTAACCCTTTCAGTGTGGGTGTAGCCCCACTACAAGGGTTAATAACATTTGTGCCCGGAGTTCTTCTTTAAGGCTTTATTCATGCGCAACTAGATGCTTTTATATGCATTTAGAAAGCTTTTGTAAACACATATACAGTATATGCATCTGATGAACTCCAATGAGTATATGCGCACCTTGCATCTACATGCATTTAATAGTAATAGAAGTATTTTTTCATTCATAAAATAATGGTAGAGCACTATGGGAACCTTTTATGCTCGTGAGGAAAGATGGGAACCATGTAAAAATCTGGAAAAAATCTGTCCGTAAATGATGGAGTGTGCCATGATGCCTTTCTACTGTTTTACTGTTCAAAGCCCATTTCGTGTGCACCTTACTGTATAACTGGTGACAAGTTGTTGAGTGCGTTTGTTGTTTGTTTTGCTTGACCGATTTGGTGCAGCGACGCATGGGGTTTCTCAGCTGCCATTGGGATGTGCGGGATCCCTTGTGTGTTCCTGTGCCTTTAAGGAGGTTGGGCGTCCTCCTGACAAACCTGCACCCAATTTGAAATCTTCTGCCCCCATGTGCTCCAAGATGGAGACTCTCATAGTTTAGAGTTAGGACCGCACTATAAGAGGTGCCTTGGCGCGGCAGTGCGGCTTTCACATCCTCTGCAGAAGACGTGTATCCAAACCTCTGTTATTATCCTTAGTGGTGAGACAAGTTGTTTTACATGCTGGTTTGTGAGTGTGCCATGATGCCTTTCTACTGTTTTACTGTTCAAAGCCCATTTTGTGCGCACCTTACTGTATAACTGGTGACAAATTGTTGAGTGCGTTTGTCATTTGTTTTGCTTGACACATTCTGTCTCACGAGCACCGCAGGAGGGAGCTCAGGTAAGTGAGCCAATCGCGATCTACCAGTGTTCCCTTTGCAGTAGATCTAATGGGCACCCCTGTCCTAGATTGTCCTGCTTTTTTCAAACTCTTTACCCTTTTGTGAATAACACTGTCAGCTGTTTGGATAGTATTGGTTGAAATTTTTTTTGAGCGCAGATTGGGGATTGTGAAGCACCTCAAGATAATGAGGCAAACAGGTACACCGATCAGCCATGATATTATGACCACACGCCTTATATTGAGTAGGTCTCCCGCAGGGCCAAGCTCAAAACACCTGAACAATGCCGGCATCCAATCAGATACTTCAGGTATTTTGACAGCCAGCAGGGCTAACTAGCAAGATACTGAAGCTTGGCCCAGTGGGAGATTCCTCTATCCACACAGATTAGTGTGGATGGAGGAATCTGTTGCACTTTTTCCATCTGACCACAGAAAGTCTGCAGAAAATCTATAGGTGTGTGGGCAGCTTAAGTCCTGTAAGTTGCGAGGTGAGGCCTCCATGGATCGGACTTGTTTTTCAAGCAGATCCCACAGAGGCTCAAGTGGATTGAGATCTGAGGAGTTTGGAGGCCAAGTCAACACCTCAAACTTGTGCTCCTCAAAACATTCTTGAACCATTTTTGCGGTGTGGAAGGGCGCATTATCCTGCTGAAAGAGGCCACTGCCATCAGGGAATACAGTTTCTATGAAGAGGTGTACTTGGTCAGCAACAATGTTTAGGTATGTTGTACATGTCAAAATAACATCCGCATGAATGGCAGGACCCAAGGTTTGCCAGCATCTCACTGCCCAAAGCATCTCACTGCCTCCGTCAGCTTGCCTTCTTTCCAAAGTGCATCCTGGTGCCATCTCTTACCCAGGTAAGGTAAAAGAAAAGACGATTCATCAGACCAGGCCACTGCTCCACATGATGTTCACATGCCCATTGTAGGTGCTTCTGGCGGTGGACATGGGTCAGTATTGTCACCCTGACTGGTATGCGGTCAACGCAGTCCCATTTGCAATGCACTGCGTGCTCAGACACCTTCCCAACGGAACCAGCATTACATTTTCCAGCAATTTGAGCTAAAGCAGCTTTTCTACTGGATTGGACTACATGGGCCAGACTTTGCTCCAAACATGCATGAATAAGCCATGGCTGCCCATGACCCTGTCGGTTCACTGGATTTCTTTCCTTTGACCACTTTTGGTAGGCCATGACCACTGCAGACTGGGAACATCACACTTTGGCCCTTGTCAAAGTCAGGTAGTGGTGACCCCCTATTCAGGCAGTTTAGAGGGCCGCTCGCTGGGGCCCTATCGGGGCCTTAATATAGGAAGGAGCAGCCGTCTGAATAGAGAACTGTGGCCGCCAGTTCTACTCTCTGGACCCTAGGTAAGAGCCCGCACTGACCACCAGGGAGCCCCCCGCACCACTGACCTCACAGCACGTCCCTAGTATACAGTTTGTTTAGGGCAAAAAAGGAACAGACAAATGCTTATGGAAACAAAACGAAAAGTCTCAAAATATAATTTAATTATATATCATTGCATTGCATAAAAACCAGACACAACAAAAGCCAACTTTTTTTGTAGTGAATATCATTTTCTACTATAACAGTGCCCACAATGTTAGGGCACTCTGAACAGTTAGATTTTCAGGGCCCATTCACATGTCTCTATTCCACTGCATTAACACGCGTTACCGTAATGCGTGATAAATGCAGGGTTCTATTCATTTTGAATGCTATCCCAATGCACCTTCGATGCACATGCATTGCATGTCCATTTTATGTTCATTCTGCAGTCCAATCCCTAATGCAACACGCATCAATGTAATGCTGGGCACACACCTTACAACCATCGCAAGACTTTTGCGATGGTAAGGTACTTAAAAAACCGAACAATCTGCCTATCTTGGACAGGCAGATCATACTTGCGATGATCGCAAGCCACGCCCCCCTGAGGGGCGGGCTTCCGATGACCGCAATGCCGAACGGGCAGTGTGCGCTTGCGCACACCGGCCAGTCCGGCTTTTATCGTACGAACATGCCACACACCCGCCGAACATCGTACGATGCTCGGCGGGTTTTCGAACATGTTCGTAAGTTTAAAGTCGTGCAACCTTACAGTAGTAGAGGTCGCACGGCTTCCACACACCTTACGATAATCGTACGATTGCGGGATTTCCCGGGATTATCGTACGATTATCGCAAGGTGTGTGGGGACCTTAAGACACAACACACGTTAATGAAACACACCTGAATGGCAAAGTGAGAATGGGCCCTCAAACAGTTCTTAACAGCCATGGTATCTGGTTGTTTACTACCACAGCGTGTCAGATCTGTTCTGCTATGACCACAAAGCTGGCTAATCAACTATTATATACTTCTTTAAAATGTACATTACAGGCAGTGTTTGGGTGCTAAAATACAGTCTTTATGCTGTTTGAGGCTTGAAGCACACTAGTCCATTTTCTGAGTAGCAGGTGGTGGTGAGAAGTAGTTACGGCATTATTTTCTTCTTTACTTGTTCAAGAATATTCATATAGTATTTCATTTTTGTCAAGAACTTCTTGGCACCTTCAAGATCATCTAAAACAGAAAGAAGAGAGCTATTACAATACCTACAAACACACCATATAGAACTTTTGCACAGTTGCCAGCGAGGTTGGTATCCAGCCTCTTCTATTACAGGGTGGGGCTGCCAGTTTTTATTTTAGAACAGGGACAGAGTCTCTTTAAATGTATATTATCCCAACATACTCTTATTCTCCCAATACCCAACATATTCTATTAGACAGCTGGTAAATTAAACCTGTGCTAAGATAAATAAATCAGACATTAAAAATCTTGGAAATGTTTGGCATCCACTGTTCATCACAAACAGAAAAAGAAGAATATGAGCGGCTTCATATTAGATATCATTGTATTCTATTTATGTAACATACTGCAAATACAAAAGGAAATAAAAAATCAGGATCAATTTAAAGATACAATTACATAAGTCATCATTACCTTTCTGAAAGGCATCTTTCACATTTTCAGTCAACGTCTGACATTTTTCTAAAAGAGGAACAGCAACAACAATTTACTTAATTGCGGAATCATTACATATAGTCAACATGTAGCTAATGTATACTAAAATTATAGCCATTTTATATAAGTTAAAGTACCTTGAGAAAATTGGATAATCCTTAAAAGGAGAACTATGAGGTTAGGGCTTTCCCCCATAGTTCTCCTAAGGGTAACGGGAGGACACAAACTACCGTCCTCCCGTCACCCTAAGCTCAGTATACCGCGAGCTGCAGCTGAAACGGATCCTGACAATTATGTCTGGATCCGCCCAGCTGCGTGAGTGGCAGCCCCTCCACTGTCAGGGCTCTCTGCCATGACAGGATCGAGAAGTGAGAGAATGCCGGTATGTGTTCGCTCACTCCCCGATCTACTGAGCGGACCTGTGACAGTTTCATTGTCACAGGTCGGCTCAGATTATGAGGCTGAGTGAAAATCACTCACCTCATAATTCTCCTTTAAAGCAGTCTGAAAGAAGTGACCCGTTTCTGGCAGCGTTCAGGTATAAAACCATGTATTCCGAGGCATTGTACACACAGACTTCATCTTGTATTATTAGCATTGTGCACATCGTTTTTTTGCAAACTGTTAAAACACAGCTCTTTGTAGGAATGCTGGCTGTTACTTTAAAACAAGTTACTAGCAGGCTTCAGGAGGCTTTCAGTTACCTTCAGCAGTACTAGAAACTTTCTGAAATCTTGGTAAAACCGGTTAGTTAGAGCAGTGACCAGCCCTGACTAAGGGAGTGTAGGGCTCTAATGCTTCATGTTTCTAATATAGACTCACTACCTTCCTTGCAGCACAGTAACCCATGTTAGCTGATGTTCAAAAAAATGTACTGGTCAAAGTGGCGTTTACACCATGCTGGACCCCTCAACTCTCCTACAAGAGCCCAATTACATTTATCTGGGCCATTGTGGTGCACGTCATGATGTCATGTGTTGATGTGCATTGCTTTAAGGCGGCTTATTTGTTATGAATGGGCTGCCTATACATGGCAGTGGCCAGAAAAAAAGTAATTCAATGCACCCCAGTGCACAGCATGTGTGTTGTGGTGCTCTACAGTGTGATTGGGATGTGAATGGAGTTACAAATTCTAGCAGTGTGTAAATGCCACTTTGATAAATGATAATTGAACATTGACTAACGTGGGTGCAGCTTTACTTTACTACGACTGGTGGAAAGTGAGATGAGATAAGTGCTTAACTTGACCTACACCTATGATGGGTTTATGAACACGTGTAAAGAAACTCACCACCATCAACACACACAAAAGGGTTCGGCATTTACTCAACCTATGCTTCTTTTAAGACAACTGGGGCATCCCTATTGATAGGGTTCAGTGCCCTTGTGGTTTTACTTTCTTTACCCACAGAGTATCTACTCGAGAGATTCCGGTCCTATAAGAAGACAATCCTCTGGATTCACTACCCTTATTATTTGTGATCACAAGTACTCTGCCAGTGTTGCTATTCCTACACATTTTGCAGGTTGTCCTGCATCCCTATGCCACTGGAGAGATCCCCCCCCCCCCCCCTCCCCCCTTCCGGC